CATCCATCCATCCTCTTTCCCATCCATCCATCCATCCATCCATCCATCCATCCATCCACTATCCATTCTCCTTTCCTTCCATCCATCTATCCATCCATTCACCCATCCTTCCACGTGCCCATGCATCCATCCATCTAGCCATCTAGCCACATCAGCATTTGCCAGGTGACATCTGTGTGCCAGGTACTTTGAATATAAAGTTCAAAGGCGCAGCTTCATGTGCTGATACATTTCAAGGAGGTCCTGTGTCCTGTGTCACAAGACAGTTTCATAAGAGTGAGGGTCCTGATTGGTGTCCTGTTGGCTGCAGCTTGAAATGGGGGGCCTGCCGCTGTGTGCTCTGGGTGAGAGTAGGAGAGTGGTGACTTATGACCTGTTTGTGATGGCTGTGGTGTGGTGAGAGTAAATCTATCCTGTGTTTCCACTGCAGGGCCCAGAGTTTGAGTCTTTTGGCTTGAATAACATGTTTTATTGACAGGAGAATTCAGGGAGGTTCTGCACCTGGGGGTGGGGGTGGGGATGGACACCAGTAGACTTTTTTTTTTAATAACATTTGCTCCTACTGTATATTGTAGGAAACTGTAATACACAGCCAAGGAAGAGCAGGAGGCAGACTGCACAAAGACACTCAGTCGCTGCCTACGTTTTGTGCATTTCTGCCTGGCCCTTTTAAGCAGTATATAATTTTAAAGCTCTTTTTAAAAAATTTATTTGAGAGAGAGAGTGAGCAAGCAAGAGAGAACATGAGCCGGCAGGGAGGAGCAGAGGGAGAAACAGACTCTCCGTCAAGCAGGGAGCCCGATGCGAGACTCGATCCCAGGACCCCGGGATCATGACCTGAGCTGAAGGCAGACTCTCCACTGACTGAGCCACCCAGGCACCCCAAGCAGTATATAATTTTAGAAACTAGACTCTATTGATCGTATAATGTTTCACAACCTGTTTCTTTCACTTAAGGGATTCATGAATAGATTTTATGTCAACAAATCTTCTACAACATCAGTTTACCCGGCAGCTCAGGATCCCCTCATGGGGGCATGCCTGCCTTTATGTCTCCTACCCTGTGTTGGGCGGTCAGGCTGCTGCTGGCTTGTTTGCCATTGGTAAGTTGCTGCAGGAACACCTCTGGAACTAAAGTGTTCCACACCCCGGAGCAGAAACTCAGTCTTCTCAATGCCACCAGAGAGAGCAGTAAGGGCTTGCTTCTTCTGGCCGGGAGAGCAGGATGGTTCCCACAACTCTTCTTGGAAGGATTTGCTGGTGGCCCCTCGGGGACATGTCCTGCGGGCTGCCTGCCGAGCTCCATGCCTGGGCAAGATGATAAGCTGAAGCTTCGAGGTTGGCATGGGGTGCCGCCCTGGTTCGGGGACCCTTGGGGAGGGGAGGCTGTGGGGCCCCAGTGACAGAGGTCCTGGGAGCCCTGTTCTGGAACTCTAGGCTCGGCGAGGTCTGCACTGGATATTGCTCTGCCCGGGGTCCCCCTTTAGCTTCCTGGGGTCCAGATTACATGTCCTTTCCCCAGAAGTCCCTGCTGCCCACTTGGCCTGACTGTCCGTTCCACACACATCCCCCTTCAGCAGCTCCATGCTTCACACCCAGGCTGGCCCAAGGTGAACAGGCGGGGCATCCTCCTTGCCCTTCTGCACACCTTGACCGAGTCTGTGCTATTGTGTGTCTGACCCAAGCTCCACATCTGGGTCACGCAGGGCCTTACAAATAAACAGATTCCTGGGCCCCACTCTCTTCCACTCCGGAGCCTTCTGGGGGGTGGGCTTGGGGGGCTGCATTCTGAAACTTGGCCAGCGAGCATGAGGAAGCTGACTGGCTGCTGGTGTTCAGGAGTCTGTCCGCCCCGATTGCAGACCCGGTGGAGAACGTGGGGTCAGAGCAGGCCGCGGCTGGGTGGGGACAGAGCCAAGACGCCCACCCAGGGTGCACACCCCACACCTCTACTTGCTGTCCTCTGGGCTGTCCCCTCCTCTCCTTGCACCTTCACTGGGGGTGCATGCGGCTCCTCCCTGTGGGACTGGCCCTCTGGGGACACAACTTTCTGGGGTAACCCCCTGCCCGTCCCCCTTACACATGTTCGTTGGCCCCGGCGACATGGTCAGTGGGTTGCTGAGCCAATTGTGTGTGGGGAGGAGGGGAAGACGGTATGTGTGTGTTCTTTCCATTCGTTAACTGGGATGCAGGCAAGAAGTGCAGATAGAAGTTGGGAAAATGTCATTGTTTGGCATTTATGTTTTCAGAAGGGCTGGAGGGGCTGTGGGCTCGGGGCTGTTTGATCATGGCCCGGCCCCTCCATCCTGGGATGGGGCCGCCTGGCCAGGGGTGACGTGGGAGCCACACAGGGGCCTCGCTTCCCCTGCAGGGACATGCACCCCTCACCCTGTCTTCCCACATGGGGCTGCGGCCACCCCATGTCTGACCCCACGACGGGGAAGCCCCACAGCTGCTCCCAGCAGCCTCCACCCTCCGTCACCGCAGCGGGGTTCCCTGCGGTGGGCCCCGCTGGAGCACTCCCTTTCCTGCACACCCTCCGGCCAGGGAGCATGGCCCAGGCGGACCCAGGGACGGGGCCCCTCCCACAGAGAGGACCACATGGAACCCCATGTACGGAGCTGCCTCTCGCTCGCCGGATCCCTCACCACCAGGGATGACAGACCCCAGCCTGCAGCAGAGTGTCTGCGAGCGGGGGGCCGAGGCTGCTGGGCGCATGGCAGCCGGAGAAGCCACCGTGTCTACCGGGACTGCAGCGCGTGGACACGGCAGCTGCGGCAGCTCCCCTGCGGCAGCTCCCCTCTGCCTGGGGTTCCACCTGTGTGTGGGGAGCACGGCGTTCGCACTAACTGCAGGAAGCAGGCTTCGTCCCCGCGCCCGCGCTGACCGATGGCCGGTGCCGTGGGTGGGCTCCGCGGGCAGGAGTCTGGCCTGAGTCTGGCCGGCCGGGGAGGAGTCGGGCAGGTGGTGACCGCTGTCGCCGCGGGGCCGCAGGAGGGCATGGCGTGTGTGCCCGGAGCCTCCGAGCTCTGGCGTTGCTCGCTTCTATCACACGCAGCACATGGCCAATGCTTAGAGCTCTCAACAGCCGAGAGTAACAGCCGAAAGCCAAGTTGCTCACTGCTTGTGCAAGGCCCCGTGTAGCACACGAGCTTGGGGCCTCGGCGGGGCCAGTTGCGCCGTGAGCAGCGGAGTCCCGTCTGGGGCGGCGCAGAAGGACCCCGCCATTCCGCGGATTCCTGACTGCCAGGCCCCGGCCCCTGAAGTGTGACCAGGTACCAGAGGGCCGCTCACAGCACTCGGCGTGTTGGCCAAGGCGGCCCTGTCGCCGGCTGAGAGAGGGCCCTTCTGGTATGGCTTGGGTTTTCTCTCCCTCTAAAAAAATTGCGGCTGGAAGGAGAGCAGCCTAAGAGGAAGTCTGTGGAATGTGTCTCAGCTGCGGGCTTTAGGGCCTTACCTCAGTTTCCCAGTCTCCTGAATGTGCTCAGCAGGCCCGGCCTTGGAGGATGTGAGGATTCACGAGGATGGTGCACGTCAAAGGCCCAGTGGGCTCGGTTCTTGCAGTGATCCACAGCCGGCAGAGGGTGTCTGTGAATTTAGCAGGTGGTCCTCGTGGGCCGTGTTCGTGGTCTCTGTCCCCCCCCACACAAGCACACGCAGACTACACACACGTGCACGCATGCACGTGACCACACACACAGCATGCAACGCACACTTCCTCTTGCACGCACTTATGCACATGCATGCACACCCATACACACACGAGCACACACAAGCACACAGACTGCACACATATGTGTATTACATGTGCACACGTGCACAGAGACCACACACATGAAATGCGCACACTCATCTCACACCTTATTTATGTACGTGCATGCACACGCAAGGACACATGCACACACAGACCACACACATGCACACACACGTGCGGTCGCACACACACACAGAGGGATTCATGCACCCTGACTCAAAGAGGTCTCGAAGTCAAGGCTTGCACCTGCCTCCTCAGTGTGTGATGTCTGACACGGCAGGGGTCCCACAAACCCTGTAATGAATCGTGAGCAGCTTCCTGTACGTTATACTCCGGGGCAACTGCCTCCCTTTCCCTGCCTCAGTTTACCGGTAATCACCTGTGGAGTCTCTTCCCTGCCTGCTGCCTGTTGTTGTAAGGACCTGTGGAGTTCCTGCATTGGGGCCGTTGAGGCTGGGAGACAGGTGGGCCCTGGGTCACGGGACAGGACGGGGTAGGGTCGGGGCAGCCTAAGAAGGAGTGGTCACAGCTCATGGCTGAGCACACGTCAGGACTTCCACCCGGACAGGCCAGTCGGTCTGGGGAGATACTGCTCGGATCCCCTCATGCAGCCTGAGCCTGGAGCTCTTCGTTTCCCTTCCCCCTGACCCTTTGAGGGAGCCGGGTGCCGGTGTCCGTGGCCATGCGGGGACAGGAGGGGCTGACAAGAGGAGCACCGTGCTTGGATGTTTGTGTCAATGCTGCTGGGGAACACGGGGCAAATCACTCGAGTTTTCTGGGCCTCTGCATGCCCCTCTCTGAACCGGGTCAGCACCTGCTGTGAACATGTTATTAACCATATGGTAGCTTCCAGAACAGCGGCACGGGGTGAGCACTTCGTAAGCGTGTCTCCCGCTACGGCTCTCCGCAGCCCCGACAGGGCCGGCCTTAGCGTGGGTGAGAACGAGGCCCAGTGCGTGGTTAATGTGGCTGGTGCGGGTGAGCCCAGCCCCGCTGCTCTGCCGCGGGGAGCCCAGCAGCCCTCAGCAGATGGTGGTGCACGGAAATGACACGTTTTGCATGGTACACACAAAATAGGTACCTAGCTCCCCCAAATGTTATGCTGTATGTGTGTGTCTGTGTGTGTGTGTTTACGAGGTGAAACGTGCTGAGTGAACAGCTGTGTGCACACAACCCTTCATTACAGTTTTGTGATGACTTTCTGGTTTCTTGTGGAATTACAGAAGCGCCTTTCTGGTCTCCCCAGGTCATCTCTGCCGTGTCCAGACTCTCCCTGCACCACGTGGCTCAGAACAAAGGGATCAGGTGAGCTCGCCGTTGCGGCTAAGTGACGCCCCCTCGTCCTCCCCGCCACCCACGTGCAACCCGCGGGCCCGGCCTCAGCGATCAGAGTCTGCAGCAGATATCCTCTGCCTGTGTCTTTTTCATGAATTTTCAATGTGGTGTCGCGTTGCCTGTTGACCGCGGCGGGAAGGGGCGGGGAGGAGGGGGGACAGCCTTCGGTTCCCACCAGGGGGATCGCGTATGCGTGTTCAACTGACGGCTGCAAAATCGCTTTCAATTTCGGTAATAAGATCAGCACATTAATCTTTTCACAGGTCATCGCCTACCTAAGCGCCCTGTGCGGGCCCCCCCGCCCCACCCACACATCACAACCAGGGAGGCTGTGCCATGAGGGCTGGGCAGCGGGCCTGGCCCATCTGGGGGCCCCGGGTCCCTCTGTGGGACTTCCCATTCCCAGGTTTAATGTCCCTTGGCTTTCAAAGCTCAGCCTCAGAGGATCCTGTGACCCCTGTGGTCCGGCCTCTGGTCTCCGATACCGGGCCGGGCACGCAGGCAGCGGGGACAGGGGAGGGCAGCCCCAGTGAGAACAGGTGGTTGCCCGTTCTGACCCACAGGTGAGGGGTCAGGGAGACGTCTAAATGGGGACCAGGTTCCAGATCAGGTGGGCCCAGCGGAGTACCTGCCCTTCCTCAATGTCCCTGGAGGACGTGGGCCAGCAGGGTAGGGATGGGGGTTTGGGAGGACAGAAATAGCCCCGCCCTAGGGTGGAGTAGGCAGGGTCATGCCCATGTGCAAGCGACACCGTGAGGGTGGCGTACTATGGCAAGGGGCCACCCCCTGGTGTTGTCTGTGAGGGACAACGAGTGCCTGGAGTCTGGGGTCCCCGGACCATGGGGCCGGGTGGATCCAGGCCAGCACAGCTGCCCCTTGGTGGGGCTCTTTGCCCAGGTTCAGAGAGTCACTGGGACAGATGCGAGGACTAGGGACCTGCGGCCCCCCCCCCCCCCCCCCCCCCCCGTCCGGGAAGTCTGTTGCATTCTCAGAGGACTTGGAGATTCCTTTGAATTGGGGACTTTTGGTTTCTGTTGTTTATAACATCAGAGACAGGATAGGCTGTTTAAAACTGTTGTTAGACTATATGCTGAACACGTGCAGGAGGGTACTTAGAACACGTTAGGGTATAAAGGATGACCAGACCAAGCTCCTGCACCCACCAGGCAGCTTAGCCCCGAGGACATCGCTAATACCTTGGGGCCCCCTTGCCTCCCGCACCCCGCCCCGGCCCCGCCAAGCTTTCGTGAGGTCTGTTAATAGGGACAGTTTAAAAACGTTAATTACGATTCAGTGTGTTATTTCTGGATACAAAGACAGCGCATAGTTTTGGTTTTGGTTTCCCCCAGGAACGACTGTCTGTTCGTTCTCCCGCTAGCGCGTGGTGGTTGGACCTCCCAGCCCGTTCAGTGTAGTCTCGTCTGTCCACGTGTCCGTGTACACACATGGGCAGGAGTGGAGTTCGTGCAACAGAAGGTAGTCACGTGATTTGCTCTTTCCCCGGAGGCTAGAGCGTCTGTATCCGTTTCTCCCCGAAGCAGGGCCTGGCCCAGGGGAGCGAGCCCGGTTACGTTCTCATTCTTGGGGCCGTTGACCCCCCTGGTGTTGCCCTGGACAGGGCGGTCCTGCTGTGGTTCCAGGCTCCACAGCCCGAGGCTGACGTAACCCTTCAGTGCAGGGGGCGGGGGGGGGTAAGAAATGAGGGCAAGGAGGGAGGTGTCTGCAGCCCCAGGCAGGGCAGGGCCTCCCCTCTGCAGAGAGAGCCCCCACCTCCCACCTGCATGGCCTCCTCATCCTCAGGGCTGGTTGTCATCCGTGCCTCTCTTCCCCTGTGCTTTCCGGTCCTTGCTTGAGCCCCGATCCAGAGCTCTTCTGGGGTCCTTTCCCTCTGCAGCCCCCAGGGACAGGAGCTTCCCCACTGTGAGCTCAGGGGAGGGCAACACGGTGGGGCTGCCCCTCGTCCCCCATGCAGGCTGCCATTTCCCCAGGGGTCTGGGCGTTCTGGTAACCGCTGGCCCTTTACGACACTAGATAGCTCTTCGTTTAAGAGCGTTTCCTAGAGTTCTTCATTACCAGAGGTTTCCGTGTGGCCAAACCCTTTCCTTTTCTGAAAACCCACCACCCATGCCTGCAGCCCTGAAGAGAGTCGTCCTGGTTTCTTTCCTGGCTGGATGGGAGCCCAGCAAGCTCCTTTAGAAAAATGAGCAATTTTACAGCCCTTGCACTTTGCCTAATGAGCTGATTTTCCATAAAAAGCCCTAATTATACTTCTCAGAGGCTGATCAATGGGAGACTTAATCTGAGGGCCCCACCCTGGTGCCGGCTGGAGGGTCAGAAGTGAGAGGTTGGGTCAGGGAGAAAGGGGTCCCTGGCAAGTCATCCAGCTCCACAGGTGGAGGTGCAGGTCCTTGTCACCCCAGAGCTGGCCCTCCAGAGTGAGGGATGTCCCGTTCACAGCTCTGAATGGCAGCGGCAGGGGAGAGGGCAAAGGGACAAATTCTCCTGGGGATTGAAGCCGGAAGGTGAGGCCCACGAGCCCTCAGCCCACTAAGGTGTTCTCTTTCAGGCACCTGTTCACCCAGTGGCCTTAGGCAGGAATGCTCTTGGGCCCTCTGTCTCTTCTTCTGTAGGCCAGAAGGTTCCCTTGCTGTGCAAGGTCGCTGTGAGCCTGTAGGCTCTGCAGCACCTGGCACTCCATGGATGCCCACGGCGCCGGCCGGGGTGGTGGGCAGAGAGGGGGCCCCCAAAGCCACAGCCCCCTCCTGGCTCCTGGACCTTGTGTGACAGGGAAGAGTTTCCCTGCAGGTGTAACTAAGTTGTTATAGATGTCATGGTAAGTAGAAGAGGGAGGCGGGAAGGTCAGAGCAGAGCAAGGCGTGGAGGTGGAGCAGAGGTTGCGGTGATGTGGCCACAGCTGAGGAACGTGGGCGTCTTAGAAGCCAGGAAAGGCAAAGAACAGATTCTCCCCTGGAGCCTCCAGAAGGACCCCGCCTGCTGACACCTTGAGTTGAGCCCATGCGAGGCCCAGTTCAGACTGCTGACCTCCAGATCCCTCGGACGGCAAGCCGTGTGGAGTGGGGCGGCGGCAGCCGTGGATGCAGCCGTGGATTCGCAAGGGTCCTGGCGCGGCTGGGGGCTCCGGGTCCTCTCTGGGCCGCTGCTCCCCGGTCCTGGGCCGCTGTCTTCTCTCTCTTTGTACCAAATTGAAGTAAAACTCACATGACATAAATCTAAGCCTCTTAATAAGCATATGGTTCAGTAGCATTTAGCAGGTTCTCCGTGCTGTGCGCCCACCACCTCTGTCTGGTTCCAGAACATTCTCACACCCGATAGGAAACCCCGTCCCTCATAAGCACCCGCACCCTCCCCTCCCCCCCCCCCCGTGCCTCCCCTTGGATCCGGCACTTAGCTTTCTGGATGGGCCTGATGGAAACATTTCATACAAACGGCATCGCACGCCGCGCAGCCTCGTGTGACCTGCTCCCTTCCCTGGGCGTCTCAGTTTCAAGGGTCTTCCGGGCTGTGGCGCAGGATAGAGACCGACCCCATGTGGGGTTTCCAGCCGTCAGCGGATGAACGTTGGGTTGCTTCCGCCCTTTGGCGATTGTGAATCGCGCTGCAGTGAACATTCGTGTTTGTTTAGATACCTGAGCTTCTGTTCCTTTGGGTTGCCTTCTGACATTTTGATTATTTTCTGCCCAAAACATACCCATGAATCCCCGGTGTTCTGGACGCACCCGGGAGCCAGAGCCTGGGTCCCGTCCCCGTGTCCACGGCACATGACAGTTGCTCGCTTCGCCTGGGTGGCTGTCTCCTGGAGGGTGGCTCAGAGAGGGGGGCTGCCAGGCCGCCAGCGGGGAGCGGCTACTGTGAGTGGCCGTGGGGTCTCCCCCAGCCCAGTGCCTCCTGCTTGTTGTCGCCCCAAAACTCTGCTGCTGTGTGCCTGGGGGGTCCTCACGCTTGGTCTTTTCCTCCAGTCTGGGACACCCCAGCCCCATTTCAGGGGGGTGGGGCTGCGGGCAGGCTGGAAGGTGGGTGGGTGGGGCAGGGGCAGGGGTGGGAGAGACGGGACGCCCCCAAGCCCCCAGGGGATGGAACGTCCTTTTTCAATTTGAAGTGAATTCTCAGAATGTCAGATGTACCCGGATCCAAATCTGAGTCGAGGAAAGCGTTCTGGAACTGAAGAGAAACGCTCCTCGTCTTGTTGCCGGCTGCAGAGGACCTGCTCTTGGGTCTTCCTGGGCGCAGGGGGATGGGGAGTGAGCCTCCGCCCCCAGATGCTCCTGTGGGTGACAGACAAGGGGCAAAGCCGCCTTGGCAGGAGGTGAGCCTTGCTGTCTGATGGGGTCTCCCGTCTTCGTCCTGAGGCGAGAGTCTCGTGGGAGGGTGGGAGATCCGGTGCTCTCGGCGTTTCTAGGGAGGAGAGGCGTGATTTCCCTCGATCCTCAAAGGGCCCTCCCCAAGTGAAGGTCTTGTCCTGCGGTGAAGCCCCAGCCGCTCCTCGAGGCGTCCTGTGTTTGCGGACACCAGCCGTGGCTCACAGTCCCCAGCTCTCTCCATGGGCCCCCTCCCTGCCGACGTCCCTTTCCCATCTGGTGCCACCTGGTTAATTCCGGGGAATTGGACTGTGCATGAGAGGTTTGGACGGAAAGTGGCCGTTTTCATGTGCTTACTAGCTCATTCTGCCAGCAAGATGGGTTTAATCGTCCCACCTGGTGACTTCAGGCGTCTGGCCACTTGTCGTCGGTGGAGAGACCGTGTTCCTCTTCCTTCCCTGGTGATGGTGGGGCCGGTGTCGTTGGCCACAGGGGAGAAACTGGAAGACTTGAGATTCCTTCCGGGAGGGGCTCGGACCGTTGTGGGCCGTTGGGCGGCACGGTTGTGTCTGGCCTCCCCCGGCGTGTCCTGGCCGCACAGGGCGGCTCTGCCCAGCTGGTGCCTGTCCCACTTGCCCGGTCAGGTGACCGCTC